ATGTAATGAATGATAAAATTACAAACTACAACAATAAAAGTTTACGTAATCGTGTCCTATGGAAAAAATACTTAAAGAAAAGAAATCTGCATAAAAGAAATAACTATTGATAATTAAGCATTCTATGACACAATATCAGAGATTTTGAGGCCGTTCAAAAGGAGTATGTTATCAGGTTTAAAAACTCGTGGCAAAGTCGAGAGTTTTGAAACTCTGATATTGTGTCATAGAATACTCCATTATTAGTTATTTAACAATTAGGGACCGGTCATTATTTAGCGGGGAGGGCTACTAGAATGAGGAAACGAGTCGGCCAAGAAATTGTGGCCCTCCCTTATGAGAGTTTTAAAACCTCCGACCCTCCCCTTACTCCATTTAATAAAATTGTGACCCTCCCCCAGGACAAAATAGTCGAACGGTTGTTAACAAATAACGTTCTATGTTTCTTTTTGCACATCAAACTTTCATCAGTAATAGAGATATCTTGCTTTCCATGTCCTGCATGTTCTACCAGATTTGGTAGTACACAAGATGTCACTGATTTGTAGACCCTCATTGTCGCCGACATCATTGTTGTCATAATTGTCCTTATCACTGTCTTCATCGTCCTCATAATCATTGCCAACGTCGCTTTCGTTGTCACTCTCGTCGTAATCTTGATCTGTATCACTTTTCTCGCCGGTATCTGTCGCTTCTTCCTGGTCACTTTCTTCGCCAATTTCCTCCAGTACAACATCATTTTTCAACCGAGTGTATGAATCATTTTTGTTGAAAATGTCACTTTCTTAGCTGTGTCAAAAAAAAGTTTTCTGAAGAATTCCACAAGGAAGCAAGGCGCCAGTACACGGTCCACCAAGAAGTTGAGAGGCTGAAGGCCAAAATCCAACAACTGGATAATGCAAATAACCCATCCACTGCAGGTTACTTACTGAGGGAGAACCACACATTAAAACCTCACGTAACACCGTTATAATATATAGATTTAGCCAGGGCTAAAAGCGAAGCTCCCGTTAATAAATTCATAATTTAAATCAAACAATAAACTTGTAATCCACAGATCAGGGCACATTCATTTGACGTTTGAGGCAAAGGCTAAGTGATTTTAGAGAAAAATAATTTGACAGTCCAAGAGTGAAACAGCTTTTACATCGAGTTATTAAATAGTCTTACTTGTACACCCAAAAATAGCAATCATGTTCAATCACAGTAGATTAGGCCTGGAAAACAAATAGACCTACCCATTCGTGTATTGTATTTGCATTAGCTGTTGCATCATAATGTGGCATTCACCACTCTCTCCAACATTGCTCCGTTTGAGAGACTATGGATAATTGGACAACCCCGAAATATAATTTTAAGAAACACACGCGCCATGATAGTCCTTGGTGGCAGCCAATTTACACGTTGCATTCCTCTGTTTAAAAGAGAGGCCAAAATAAAAAAAACAGGCCGGATTTTTTGTGTTCGACAAGTTTAGTTTACTAGTAAATCTTGGCGACGAATCTGGTGGTGTGAAAACCAGCCTTTTAAACATACTTTTTCTCATCACGTCTCAGGTAAACAGTACTATGAGGCCCTTGTTTTTATCATACAGACCTCGGACAGAATTTGTTCTTTTTTGCTCTATTTAAACCTATAATTCTGCAGTTTTTCACAATTTTGCAAGAGAATTTGCACTCATTCAATATCCACGACGATCAAAACACGCCCTTCCTTTGCACAAGAAATTATAGCATTGAATTATAAAACGTTTTCATGAAGAGAATTCTATAACGCTAGGACTTTCAGTTAGAAAAATCTGGTCCTATGTGATATGCAGGGTAATATGGGCTATTTAATGAAAACGATAAACAAATTCCCAAAATCACTTTTCGGCCAGCCGGACGGGGCTCACTTTTGACAGGCACCATAAAAATTGCGAGAAGGACTACTAACAATCAATAAAATAAATATAATTCGGTGAAACATGTACAGAGACAATAATTTTCATTCAAGAAGAGAAGTATTGAGAGTAAAGTGTCTTTGAAAATCATGAGTCAGGTAAGCATAAGTTTATTTATGTTTTACGCCGGCTTCTCGGTGTTTGCTCTTTTTCAAGATGAACTCGAGGCAAGAAAATCGCTCAGAGCTTTCTGTTTACAGCCAAAATCATAAGTAAATAATCTTCCGAACATTTTCTTTGAATTTGCGGTCAAAAAAATGTCTAAAGGCTTTTAAACCTGATACTATTGTAGGTTAGATCATTGCTCGTGTATAAACTTAAGCCGCATAAACCATACGCTCGACTTCAGGAAACCGAAAAAAAAAAAAACAAATCAAAGACAACAATTTCTCAGGCTTACCAGTCGAGATGCTGCTTCTGAAGGTCATCAAGTGTTCCAGAATTTTCAACCCTCTTACGCCTCAAGCAAGAGCAAGTGAGTAAGCTCATTTTTGAAAACGATGCCGTCCGAAATCGGATTTCCAATGACTTTGACAAGCGGTGCATTTGTCAACAAAAAGCGCAATAAACAAACCAGCCATGAATTACAGAACAATCTTGATAGCAGCTGTATTTCGTTTTGTACACCAAGTAGAAAAAGCCAGTTTAAAACATCACAAGATGACACAAAACTCTGTAAGCTCCAGCTATCAGTAAGCAAGTTTCCAGACGCTGCATAAATTTTCCGCATGAACTCACCTGTCAAATTTTGACCAATCAGAACATAAAAATTGGACGTAGAGCGTGATCAACGCGTGACAGTGAGAAAAGTCAAAAGTGATTGCCTTCCCCGCATGTAAATGTAAAAGCCGGTTGAATTTTCGCGTCCGAGGTCAGTTCAAAATCAACATTTTAAAAGTGCGGCTCATGAACTCGACTTATTTCATATGCTTTTTAAAAAAATTGAACTTGAGCCTGCGATAATTGACAAGTAGCAACCTGTCAGCGGATACGTTAAAAAAAACACTCGAACTCAGTGGGTCGATACCTGAGCCCGCGATAGGGACAGGCGATACTGGTCAGCAGAAACACTATTTTGACAGCTGTCAATTAATCAAAACATGGAAAGTGTGAGATTAAACATTGGTATACCTGTGGTGCGGACGGACGGAAGGTCGGGTGGTCGGTGTATGGTCACTTGATTGCCGAATTTTCTGAGATGGATCGATTTTCTAAGCTATGGGACTTCGAATTGAGCCCGTGATCAAATAAAATATCAGCGCAAAACTTTAAACACTACGTGACCTCAATGGATAGACAGATGAGCCCGCGATACACTCAGGTGATGATGGTCAGCATATACTCTAGTTTGACAGCTGTCAATTAACCTTCATTAGAATGGCGAATATTCAAATTAACAGACTACGAGTGTGAGTAAGACATATGCGTCCGGCATGTAGTGGAAAATGCCAGATCGTGTACATGAGCGAACCTGAGCCCACGTTATTAGTTTTCTGGTAGTGGTCTGCACATGTCCCATTTTGACAGCTGTCAATTGACCTTAATTTGGCTTGCCAATATATCTTTAAACGCCTGTCAGCCAACTGACAGCCTTGCCCGGCGTAGTTTTGTTTTTATGTTGAATTGATAAGTGTGACATATTATATCAGCTTATATGTAGGGGCAAAACGACTGGTCTTTCATCTGAGCCCGCGAGATAGTCATGTGATAATTGTCAGCGGATGCCTAATTTTGGCAGCTGTCAATCTAATCGTACTCATACGGATGGGTTACATAACTAAGAGGCTAGTCGAGTTGTGCAAGATCTATTGAGACATTTGACATCGGCTTACATGAAGCGTGTGTACCGGTGGGCGTACGCTACGTCATAACCAAATTTTCTCAGATGGATAGTTTACCAAATTTTCTTACCCATGGTGCTCCGCTCTGCGCGCGCTTCGCGCGCGCGAGGAGCTCCGCTAAAAATGAACTTAAATCGAATCGAAGAGGCGGAAAATCTTTGCAACAAATTGAGGAAAAAGTTGAGATAAATCTAGAATCTGCAGTTCTCTCCAACGGAAAAATTAAAGCTGAAACGAACGTCCCACAGGTTCAACGAGGATGTCATTTCGGTGCTGATCAAACTCAAAACCAAGCTAGCTACGACTAAATCTCTCTGAGCTCTCTGAGCTCGGAGCAAAGGCCTTAAATATCTTTCAGGTTGATTATGCACCCTTAAAGAGGAAATTTCGTTCGAAAAAACAGAATAAACACCGCGCTGCAAAACGTAAGGTTGTTCGTACTTCGCAGAGGACGTCAGCCTTTTTGCAAAAGATCGCCCCTGGCTTAGATAAGGACTCTCTTTGCGAAAAGGGTCACATACAAAAAGAGATTGTCTTGAATTTAAAACAAAGAGACACAACTCAGCTAAGCAGTGACGCGAAGGACTACCTACCTCGCAGGCTTACTAGGCAAGGTAAGAGGTGAAGCAACTAATTCCTCCCACGTCGACGATAAGAACGAGGATGATGAAGATCATGATGATATTGCCTGGAGTGAGGAACAAGACGAAAGTGATGATGATGACTGCGGCGTTTCTGTACTGCCCAAACCAGGAGAGGCATCTTTGTCAGATATTGAAGATTATGGTCCATATTGGAATAATTCCTCAGTCCATACCATACCTGGATCATCTTTCAAACTAAATTTCGAATATTTGCGTTTTTCCTGGTTCATTTTGCTTGGTTTTCTTTTCTTTTCTTCTTGCTTTAGCCTGATTGTATCCTTTGTTTTTAAACCGCCTTTGATATCAAAATATTTTGCCTATTACCTACGGGTAATAGGCAAGAAAATGCTCCGAAAAAACTGACAACAACATCGTTATCTTTTGGTGACAGTGTACATATTCAAATGTTTCTATCAGTGCTGTTTACTGATGACTTTCTCTCATGTTCCGTTTTTAAAATTGTAAGAACTTTGCACTAGGAAACAAATTCAGTTATTATGTGTTTTAGAAAACAGATATGCTTCATACAGACTTTTTGTAAAACAGTGCTCCATGTTTACACGTATAATTACATAAAGCGGATACAGTTGGCTCAAATAAAGTGAATTGTGAGTTTGAAGACTTGAGGTAAATACTTACAGAATACTTATGAGCTAAAAAAATCGTAGCCCTCCCCTCAAAGGCATTTTTTAAAAAATGGCCCTCCCCAAAGTGAGGCTAAAAAAATATTGACCCTCCCCCCAAACATAGTAGCCCTTCCCCCCCGCTAAATAATGACCGGTCCCTTAATGAATGAGGCTGAGTATCGCATGAAGCAACAGCAACAACGAGCTTTATTTGCATGACCATACAAATACATACAGTATTGCAAAGGCTATGTTTAGAATCAAAATTACAACACAGGGCAATTACGTTACTTTGATAATAATTTGTCCCGAACATCAAAACAAGCTGAAATATATGTATATTGATAAAGTAATTAGAAGAGTTCATCAGTTCATTGATCAAAATGTTTATAGGTAACTGGGTAATATTTGGAATCAGAGTCTTGACTTTAGAGTAAAATTTGTTCCTAATCATAGAGTATGTAGGAAATTGAAAGAGAAAGTGAACTTCGTGTTCTATTACATTGCATCCACACTGAAAGGGCAATGCCTATTATCTTTCGTAGTTTGATTGTATCTGCCTATTTCTATCATTAGCTTATGAAGAGTTATGGCCAAAGATCGAGGAGGGTGTTATCCATCGAGGCCGAAAGCCGAATTCAATAATTGTTTTATTATTCATTCAACATAATTCCTAGTTTAAAAACAAAGCTAAAACATGCTTACGTCCATCGATGTTAAGTTCACCTTCGATAATGCACGTTTAGGGTTTTTCAGCCCCGCAAATGTTCTCCAAATAGAAGACGTCGCCCTTCGAGTTGTGTTCTTGCTGCTCGTGGCATGTTTTTAGCTATAATTTTGCCTAGTTCTTACTCTTGAAACGAGTGAAATGTCCGCCATTTTTTGTTTTCACAACCAAAACAACTCAACCTCGTCCCCAGGTCTTCTCTGTTAACGGTGCCTTAACCTGCACGAACGCTGCATTTTTGACGTCATTTCCTCGTTAAACACAAAATTCTTCCAAATTTGGTCACCAGTAACTGGTTATGGTGAATTATGCGTGTGCTTTTAGCCAATCAGAATCGGGGAAATATTTTGAATGAATAATAATAATTATTGTGTCATAGAATGTTTAATTATTAATTATTAGTTATTAATTTTTAAACCTGATAATACACTCCTGCGATTTTTTTGAACGGCTTCAAAATCTCTGAAATTAGTGAGAATAACTAAGGTAATTATAAAGGTTAATCGATGGCACTCTGAAAGGCAAAAGTAATACTATCCAAATCATTTTCATCTGCTCTAATACATCGTGAAGCCTATAGCAACATTAGCAAAAAATGTAATCTTTGTCTTTATGAAAAGTTCATCATCATTTGTAAAAAAGAGCTTTGTAGCCTAAACAGGCGAAACGAACTGGGGAGTTCATGCCCCCATAGAAACAGATATGTACTTCAGAACTCTAGAGTAACGTAACTAAGACACAATCCATCTGTTACCTAGATACTATCTCTTAACGCATCCCTATATTTACTGCCAGCTTTAATTTTAACGGTCAGTCGTTGAAGTTGCCTGATGAGTGTGGTCCTACGATTTCGGACCATAAGAAACAGCACTGTCGCAATAAACGATCAATGATTACTCCTGAAGCCTGAACTCCTGTGATTATTAATAGTCAATGCTCTTCAATTAAATGAATTGAGCGCTCTACGAAATACGTTCTACCTAAAATACAAGTAGAGAGTAAAATCTCCGTAGGATCAATAGTTTTGTAGTTTGAACTTTAGTGACGTCATGTGAAAACCAATAATTATCCTATTGGGCTCCTGATGTCAAGATTATACCGAGAAGCTTTTCAAGACGAATTGAAGCCTGAGTTTGATTTGCCAAAGATTGCAAATGTCGTGAACGTTTAGCCTGCTAAAAACAAAAACAAAACAAAACAACCTTTTTCAAGACGAAATGAAGAGCTATCAGAAACGGCCCATACCGAACTGCAACAAGTCGTTCACACGCATCGTACATCGTACCGGAGCGGTTAGCCGAGAGGGTTTGGTGCACTAAATCCTAATCCTCATGCACTCTTGGACTATTCACCTCCGTCTTGATGGGATCAAGTCTTTTGTCATCTTTTCGTGCCGGAGGAAGGGCTATCCGTTCTGGCTTGAAAACAACAACAACAACAAAGAACTTTCAACCAGAATAGGAAATAGTAAGATCTAGACACTAGGAACCTTTTTTCTAGCCTGAGTTTGATTTGCCAAAGATTGCAAGTATCGTGAACGTTTATCCTGCTAAAAAAAGAAACAAAACAAAATAAACTTTCGTAGTAAATTAGAATTCGTTTCTTCTTTGCGTAGCTTTTAACTGTCAATGTTATCATTATTATATGTTTCTAGGTTTTCTTCTACAAGAGTGTTCCCAGCTTGACTTGTGCACCTTTTCTCATTTTTGTGTAGGAACAGAATCCTTCCATTTGAAGAACAACTCACTGAAGAACAGTGTTCCCTCTCCTTCACAAAATGTGGTGGGCATGTCATCTGGAATTTTCCAACACTTCAATCTATATTTGGACATATACTTGACAGCGTCTTCAGCATTAAGTTCTTTTTGAGCGGCAAAAGCCAACCTGTTTAAAAAAGTTATCTGTTAAAAATCGTTTATGCAGGCTGCCCCTGAGGTAGCCTGCGTGCAGATGAAACTAAACTCTGGTTAACCAGAGTTTAGTTTCGTCTGCGCTCAGGCTACCCCTGAGCACGTTATAAGAAACCCAATTTTGCTTCTTCTTTACATAAACGACTTACCAAAATCCATAGATTATAGAAGAGAGAAAAGGAAATTGGTGATAATACAAGCGCAACATTTTCTTACTAATAATTTTCCTTTCGTCAGCCACTCTAAATAATCAAAGATCTCAAGATCTACATTGTGTATTCTCACAAAAATATTTTATGATAATGATCTGTTTATAGCAGAGAGGAATTTCGGGCATTTTGGCGAGCGCTAGCTTTGCACTAGAATTCAGTTCCTTTTGAAGAATATTGTGATCTTGCCTTCCTAAAAATACTGCACGGGCTTTGTCGTTTATTTACTTTTAAAACAGCACCTTAAATAGTATTGTAAAGGAGTTTTGTTTGCTAAAACTATTGTACGTATTAAAAACTAGAACGTCTATTTTTGAGTGAGTGTACTCCTCTATATTTAGAGAGCCAAGTATATATTCGTATTTATTATTTATTTACCTTGATAAGTTTGTACTTAACAGTTACAAGTACTAAAAATTTTAATATTCTTTCTTATCTTTCCTTTAACAAGTTCAAATACCAGTTGCTAATATATGGATTATAAGGGAGTTTATCCTTAAACAGCGTCAAAAGCTTTGCTGAAATCAGTGGCGAAAAGTCATACTGTTTTACATTCAGCAGGTGTTCAGGGTTATCTAATCACCTGTTGATCCTATTTTTTCTTAGAAGAAAGCGTCGGTACGGTTCTCCACCTTCTCTGTGAACGAACTGCGTACAGATGAGGTAAATTTTACCGTTTCTCAAGCATGGGGGAGATACACCATTTTTTCAAACCCTCTTGCCACCATAAGGTTGATATTCCCAAATCAATAAGGGAATCAGTTTAGGTCCAGTCACAGGTATTTTGAATGCAGTAAGTAAATTTCAGATTTGGCGTTAAGAGATAACTTAATTGGATCTCCACTTCTTCGCTGTTAATCGTGGTGGGCGTGAAAGGCGAAAATTTCCCTTTCGTAAACGGTCTTTTCCAATTTTAAGACTCTAAGAATGCAGATAAGAGGGCATCAAACTTCCACGCAGGTGTTTTAGGATACGACTCGCCCAAAAACCTCTGCGTGACAAGGCTTAAACTTTTATGCAGCTGACGGTGAATGGAGAGCCTGTAGAAAACGTTATACTGAGGCTCACCTACCTTGGAAGAATAATCGTGCAGATGGGGACTTAGAGGCCAGCAAGGAAAAGTGGCGATATCTTTTAGAAGCTCAAAGTTGAAACTCTTGAATAAAATAGTCCACCAACAGCCCTGTTTCACTGTGAAATACCCTATAATAGCCTTTATTTGGAGGCTCCACCCGAAGGGGGTATCTTTTTCAGGCTTCAGGTTTATGAAAGGGTAGAGATTTTAGTAGTTGAAGCATCTTTATTTAAAGGGTAGGGATATCTGTCATTGCGCTCTGTAAAGGGACCTAAAAGGACTAACGGGCACATTTTGTAGCTGTGAAAAAGACAAGAAAACTTCCTGGTCTAATGATTTATTTTCATTTAAAAGACGGTGCATTTACAGCAGTTAAAAGGGATGCACCCCTTTAAAGTAGTATGTGGAAGGGGTATCATTTGTCAATAGAAGGTACACGGAAGGCGGACTTTTTCTTTGAAAAGTGGCATATAAAGGGTGAGGGGTTCGACCTGGGAGCTGAGCGCCCCTGTTCAAAATTCTGTTGTATACCCCCTGTCTGTGGCCGTTTTTCAGTAAATGGAACTGATTTGTTCAAATGGTAAATGCGATTCCGGGACGAAATTTACCAGTCCTGAATTTTGCTTACCATGCCCAAACCTTAACTGACCTGTTTGCCATGTAATGTAAACGGTAAACAATCATGACGTTCTCTGGACACGTTTACAGAATGTCAGGGAACGGGCATACAAGACAGCGATCAGCAGGCGATCACATGAGAGAAGAGGAAGAGAACGGATCGATATCACGTGCTGGGTGCTCTGCATGGGGATCGATTTGGAGGAGTATTGGAAACAGCATAAGATCAGTAGTCCAGTGAAACAGCCTTGCCAACAATACGCGGAGTTGGGAGCAAGGATTTTAGTCTAGGTAAGTGGACGACTCGAAAATCTATACTTGTCGTTTGATTCGAACCTACCTGGTCATTTGACTACTATCAGATTGGAAGCTTGCATTAGTGACTGACCATTGGATGTCCTCAATTCGACTAAAACTCAAATGGGTTGTTCCAGAAAAAATCCACACCCCCCCGACGGATGGGATTCTGGAAATTCTGGGGGGAGGGGGGGTCGAAGACTCCGGAAATCCAGGCGAGAGGGGGGGTTGACCTTAAAAAAGTCTTCTGCAGGGGTCACTTCGACCGATAGTTGATACAAATCAAACGTTTAGTTCGATGACACTTAAGCGCTTTCAGACCCTGAAAATAGTCAAAATATTTTGTTCATATATTTCTCACCTGACATAAATGATAATCTAAGTTGCTTTACAGGTCCTTTTATAGCAGAAAACGCGAACAAGATACTAAAGAACGGGCCTGAAGGAACTCGTCGCAACATTGTTGTCACGAAGAGCGTCAAACGCCTGACACATTTCTACTCGTACCCAGAGCCCGTGCGCGAAGAGCGGAGAGTGATTTTTATAAGCTAAGAAATTATGTAAACACTCGTTCAGGTGTCGTTCACATTTTTGTTTTTTGCTCCTTTCGTTTTTAGTTCCACGCGATAGAATTCTTAGTTTAATATAAGCTGAAGCTTTAGAAATTAAAACAAAAACATTTAGACGTGTTTGCGTGTATTTTCCATTAAAAATAAATTAAATTTAAGCCTTTTATTTTTTCCCGGAAATCCAGGCGGGAGGGGGGGTCTTCCACCTTGGAAATCCAGTTGGGAGGGGGGTCTTGTGCTTCAGGAAATCCAGGTGAGAGGGGGGGTTAAAAAAGGATCCCATCCGTCGGGGGGGTGTGGATTTTTTCTGGAATAACCCAATATGACGAAATTCCTCGTTTTCGGCTCTCATTTTCGTCCTTGGCAGTTGCTTTCCCTTATTTTCATTGCCAACGATTCTATCAGCCCCTCAGACTGTGTCAGAACATTGGTGTGATTTTTGATAAACGTATCAATTCCCTTACCAAATCCAACACTGTTTTGAATGTATTTTTAAGCTATTTTTGAAAACTGTTTTTAACCTGTTTTGTGAAATAGGTTTTAAATAGGGTGAAAAGTGTATTTTTAATGTATTTTTCTATTGCTTTTAAAGGTGTTTTAACCTGTTTAAAACGCTATTAAAAAAGCATTTTTAAAGTATTTTAAATTCTTTTAAAATAAATAAAAAACTCCAGGGGTCTTGCAAGGCTCAAAACAGGTCTAAAGCAGTTTTTAAATACCTTATAAATCGGAAGAAAAATAGGATAAAAACAGTTTCAAAACATATTTTAATTTGCTGTACTATTTTACAACTATTTTTAATGGCAATTTTAAAGGTATTTTGAAAAAAGCAGGTTTAAAATGGGTACAAAAATATATTTTAAATATATTTTTCAACTGATTTTAAAGATGTTTTAACCTGTTTAAAACGCCATTAAAATGTTATGTTTCAAAATATATTTTAATAGCTGTTTAATCGGTTTCGAAATTTAGTAAAATAGTCGTATTTGCAAATACAATAAAAATACTTTGAAAATAGTATTAAAATACCACAGAAGAAGAAAAGCAATAGCACGCATACATTATGAAAATATATCAAAAATAGGATGCAAAAATACAAAAACAGTATAAAATTGTAAGAAAATAGCCTTAGAGTTGTCTGAAAACAGTACAAAAATCGGTCGAAAGAGCATAAAACAGTGCTGAAATAAAATGAATACAAAACCGTCGAAAATTACCCAGAAAAAGCAAGATTTACCTCGGCGAAATTTCTCCACAAAGCCCCAAAAAACTGAACGAGGCCAATATACAACCATCTGGTCCAAAAGAGAACTTTTTCAGTCTTGCGCGGGACCAACGCGGGAAATTCCCAGCGAGGAAAATGGGCCCATCTTGCCCACTCGGGTAGCCAATCAGAACACAGGACTCGCTTCATCTTTTCGTTTCGCGGATTCTGTCATATGATAAATGTTTTTACGTGATCTCCCTACTAAAAGTGCCAAGTACAAACACCGTTTCGTTTGGAGACCGTTTATTCAGCGTTGCAGCGCCGAAACTGTGAAATTCTGTTCCCTATGAAATTAGATCTGCCGAAAAATTAACCATTAATTTAAATCTAACCTGAAAACCTATTTGTTTCAGATTGCTTATTTTAAACTTTCTGTGGACATTGACATTTCATTTTTATAGTTAATATTCTCTGATTATATCTTTTAAGAACTTTGATTTTTTATCAAATTTTATATTTCGTTAAATTTTGATATTTCTTTTTAAGGGCTTATAAAGCGCCCAATAAATAATGAACTAGCACGAGTATTTTAAATGACGAATGTCCAGCGCTGGCCACAAGATCCCTACTTTCTCTTTTCATCCTTAGCTCTACACTTCTCCGAGGTGTGGAAGAGTGAATGAACCCCATTTTTCTCCTCTCATCCAAAGTTCTACACTTCTGAAAGGCGTAGAAGTGCATGTCACACTTTTCCCGTAGTCACAAACACTTTGTTATTCTTTACTTAGTTCCAAACTTGTTAGAGGTTTCGAAGTGTGGAAAACTCTGAAAAAGTAAGGATAATGTCACACTTTTCCTGCAGTCACCAACACTTTGTTATTCTTTACTTACTTCCACACTTCTAAGAAGTGTGGAAGTGTGGAATAATACGACAAAGTAAGGATAATGTCACACTTTTCCCGTATTCACAAACGCTTCGTCATTCTTTACTTAGTTCCAGACTTCTCAGAGGTGTGGAAGTGTGGAAAAGTCCGACGAAGTCAAGATGTTGTCACATTTCCCCCCCAGTCATGAACCTCTTGTCATTCTTTACTTAGTTCCACTCTTATGTAGTATGAAATGAGAACAAAGCGCAGTGGGACTATTAGTTGGTTTTATTTCAGAAACTCATTTTATATCTTTCTAAATGCTATTTTTACGTTTAGACAAGAATTTTGTGACTAGAAGATATTAGTCTTGTTTCACTGGCATCAGTTTGAGTAAGGATATCCGACCATAAAACAAACCTGCATTTCCTCTGACACGAAGTCCCCGTCAGCCTTTTATCTTCATTTTTTTTTAACGGAAAGTTCAACAACGTCATCGGCTTATTGACAGATTCTTACGTTTGAAATTTTATTGTCTTAATGAGCCCTGAGGCCTCTTTTTTTTTTTTCCTTCCTATTAAGATCGTGACCCTGTTGAAAATAAACAGTAAAGAATGCAGAGTATCTGTTATTTATTTATTTTTTTACTTAAGTGAACAGGAAAAAGGAATTTGCGGCCACAAAGGTTTCCTGTGCCTTCTTTGAAATAACGATTCCGTGTCCATCCTGTTCGAGACTGCAGGTATATTTTACCTGGATCAGAACGTAGCTTGTTAGGATAGAGTATCTTGATGGCTGACCAAAATTTAACAGGCGAGTCAGCACGGAGATCTCGATTATATCTCCTTTTACATTTACATTTTCAGTTATGTAATAGCTGAATTAATCTTTTAATGTGTTATTTTATTTTATTTATTATCCAGTGTCACCATGCAATTAGTGTGTTTATGCCCTAGAACAGCTGACACTTTAATAAAGTTTTACTACTACTACCACTACTACTACTACTACCACTACTACTACTACCACTACCACTACCACTACCACTACCACTACCACTACCACTACCACTACCACTACCACTACCACTACCACTACTACTACTACTACTAGGTATCTCTTATTCTCGATCGTGACAACAGCTCTTGACCAAAGCACGGTGGAAAGTGGCAGTGACTGCCAGTTTTTCCTTTCGTTAATGAACGCAAGAACACATTTGTGTTCTTGTAAGTACCGACATTGCTTTGATTCGCTCTAAATTCTTTTTCGCGTTAAAGTCAAAGTCTAGGAATTCTGTACTGACAAAACACTCAATTTCACTGTCAGGTCCCTCGGGAAATCTGTTAGTTTTTTTTCCCTCGTCTTGGAAAACATGGGGTACTTACCATTTCGGAAATTCAGGTTGCAAAATAAAGCTACGCTCCACTCCGTTTAGGAAGCTTCAGAAAACATGGGCTGTGTTTTGAGGTGATGTAATTATTGTGCTCTTTTTAGTCTGATTTGGATACATACTTTGTAGTCCTCTGTAGTGGGCCTTTCTCCCACCATGTCAAATTTTGTAGTTCTAAGTTTATGCACAAGATCTCCACCAAGGTCAGAGGTTGTGTAAGTAGTAATCACCTCTCCGTTTCCTTCGGGTCCTGACATTAAGTGTATCATATAGTAATATTACCTGACGTAAGCAGGCGGAAGCTCTTCCATTGGTTCCCCTATCTGACAGATGTTGTGACGCGGGTCCTTCTTGATCAGCTCGACTGCTTTGTCATAGACATCTGCTTTTTCCATTCCACCTGCATCAAAGATGACACTACCATTTGTCGGACGATGACCCCTTGGAAGACGACCAACCTGTGAACAAAAGTAAAGCATTTCGTGTACTTATATATCTATGAACGGTTTGAACCCAGGGCCCAGTTGTTCGAAGGCCGATTAGCGCTAACCTGAGGTTAAATTTTAACCCGTGTTTCTTTTTCTTTTGTTCCACAGCGTTTTTTAGAATAATTTTCTCTATTATTTACAGTTCTTCTTATCAACATATGTAGAGAAAAAAGAATTAAAATGAATTTGCTTTTTAAGCCTTCAAATCTGACATCAAATTTCGCACTTAACCTGGGTCATCTTAACCCAACTTTGAACAACTCGGCCCAGGAGTCATTTTTCAGGAGGTGAAGTATGATCGTCCGGGTGAACTTAGTCCTGAATAGGACTGTTGTTGTTAACCGTGACTGACGTTTCTACAAGCTATGTGGAAGTCATCTTCAGAGTCAATGAGAGTTGAATCCGCCAGTTGATGGTATTAAAATCTGGCCATTGACCTCATTGGTCAATTAAGTCACGATGTTATTGCTGTCTGTCAGATAACTAAAGCCGCGTTGTTGTTGGCTATGAAGACTCTAAATGTGATTGGCGCGTCTTAATCTGTCTTTAGTTGCACATTTTTGATACGTGAAGGTGTGAGAATACGAAAACCAATTTTGTGTTATTTGCGGGGCAATGGCGTATACATGTATTCGTTTGGCTAACAGCCCGTAACTACTCGTTTGAATCTACATCCCTTGTACCATTTGTGACTCTAAAAGGCGTATCCGCCCTACCGAAAAAAATGTATTTTTACGCGTAAGGGCAGGTCGCAAGGTGTTCAATAAAATATCACAGGAACATGTACAGTTTTCTGTGTCGCTATCTTACAATAGAAACAGAATATCTGCCGAAGTTTGCCTGCTAAGTATACACCCCTCAGCCAAAAGTACAAAATTTAGGGAAATAATTTTTTTTTATGGGGCAAGGTTCAGCAGGAAAAGCGTTCATAAGATCACTGATCTGACCTGAAAAGCCAATTTGTTCTGACATTTTCCTGTATTAGCCGCAATAGATTCGTTATATATTATATACGCAGAGTTGTATTGAAAGCTCCCTATTTTAATTTCGATTGGCTATTTTTCTCTTCCATCTTGAAAAAATGACTAAACTTGAGCATCGTCATTATCATCATTTACAGCTAGATTAGTTTTGGTGATGAGACTTCAAGAAACCACCAACATCTGCAGATAACATAAGTGCTGCGCGTGTGCGGCTTAACCAATGCAGGGTTATTTTAGTAACAAGACGCTACGGAGCGTACACTTCGACGTCGTGGTTGTGGAACTAATTAATTGTAAATGCGGAGGAATAGTAAGAAATCAAATATGTTAAGAGTAAGGTGTTAATTTGTGAAATTGTGGGATTTGTCAGGATATTCTGAAAAGAGCAACATCCAAGAGGCCTACTTGCCAAAAACTAGCATTTCGGGACAAATTGTCTCCGAGATGTTAGCCCAGTTATGCTCTGATGACTCCATACAAATCCTTCTAAAAAAACAATTCTTTATTTTTCTTAGTCACATCAGGCTTGCAAAACAGCATAGCAGTCTCATGTACTGATTAAAGATATGTAAGGCATGGGTAAGGAGTCAATTACGTTGAGCATGGAATTGGCTAAAACTCAAAGTCACGAGTTCGAATGTTTTGAGGATAATTATTCACTGACTATCAGCACGCAGGGATGTCGGATTAACACAAGGAAGTTTAACACCAAAGGAACATAGCCTTTACAGAGCTTTAAAACACAGCACCCACCAACACAAACTTGACTTGAACATTGAGTAAAACTAAACAGCCTCTACCAATAATAACAAACTCTTACTTGAACTTCAGATATCATCTTACGACTTCCGCGAACTTGTAAACACAATACCTGAAAATCGACCTTCGTCATACTTGACTAAACACAGCAGTCCAGCTCGTGGGAAAAAACTTAGTTCTTCAAAAGAACTCGCTTGGAACTTGTATACCGTTTGACATAAGGTTCTAGAAAATACTAAACAGCTGGCGAATAGTAGTAGCTTTTCGACATACGGTATTTTATGATTTCAGTAACTGATGCAAATCTGCTGACTCATGCTGAAATGTAAACATGCCGTAATTAATTATTCATGGCTAATCCAAAAACGTAGAGAACGTTCGAGAAAGTCACGCAACGCATGAAAGCAATTTTACTACGTAACACTCAAAAAAGAAAAAATGTCTTTTTGCAGCATTTTGTAACTTTAAATTCATCATAAAACAGTTCGAAAGGAGGGCTCACTCGTGAAATGTTTTTCAACATTCGAAGAGAACTTTCGTGTCTCTGCGCGGCCACGAAATATCCTCTATTTATTCCTCGAGTAATGAAAGACTAAACTCGACGTGATCTCAAGATATCACGAAGTAGTCCGGTCTCATTTCGTGAAATAGTTGAAACAAGCCGAAAAGTCACGAACTTGCACGCCCAATCTTGTCCCGAAACTAGTTCATCATTTCATAATTATTTTTCATATCCCAAACTAGCTTGGGTCGCAGTAGCGCAATGGGCTAATCCCTCAACTTAGAGTCTCCTCTGATCTGAGGGTCACACAGGTGAGTCGGTTCAAACCCTGGGAAAGCCAAAATAATAATTCTTTCTTCCACGAAAAAGTTAAAGAATGAATCAAAGAAATCGAAGTGATCTCGAGATATCTCGAATTAATTCGGCTCTCACTTCGTCAAATAGCCGAATAAAACCGAAACCTACAGACTTTGCATGCCCAATCTTGTCAAAAAATTGTAACTTTGATACATTCCTGAGCGTCGCGAAACCTTTACTTCGCGCTCCGCCGAAGTAAAAAATCTAACATCTTTTTCTTAAAGCCAGAAAGGCTTAATGAATCGGTAATTGGTGCTGGGAGAGAGTTCCAAATTTTCGGACCTTGGTAGAGAATTGTTAATTGCTTAAGATTAGTACGACAAGAGTGTGATCGATAATTGCTTGCTGTTCCAGTGCCATTATAGTAATTGAGCACTTATTACAAATACTAGAGGCAACAAACGATTATCATAATAAATCATAGATTTGGTTATGACAATTATGAAATGTATTGAGTTGAAAAATATCCAGAATTCCTACCGGTATTTTT